CCGCTGGTAAGTGTGCATCTCTACGTAAGCTACGTATATCTTCTTCTCTACCAATCCACACCCAGGAACACTCTTCGGCACGTGACGCTGGGCCTTCTGATGCCAATGATGTAGCAACCCCAACACAGCCGTTGGAGACGGTCCCAATAAACTGTAACCAGGGTATGAACCACAGAGAATCTGCAGCTAGTCTGGAGATGCAGCCACTCAGCAGTAACACTCTTCCTACTCATGTGACAGAAGCCGACAAGCCTTCAAAGCCACGTGGTGTAACCAAGGAGCTCCTTGGTGTACGTGTAACTAGTGACGGCCGAATAGGTACGATGGAGTCTGCTGCTGCAACCACCCTGGTAAAGACGACACAGTCGACATCAAATGATCAGAAAGTGATCGGTGTGACGACTCAGCATCGTCCCGTCCCGGAACCTCGTGGTGATACCGGCAACACCACTGAACTGGTCCAAGCTACGATCGCGACAAACACAACGATCGGCGTGACAGTCCAGCATCGTTCCGTCCCAGAACCCCGTGGTGATACCGGCAACACCGCTGAACCAGTCCAGGCAACGGTTGCGACAAACACAACGGTCGGCCATATACCTAAAGACACGATGGCGTATCCGCCGCAACAAGACGCCAGTCATTGTCAACGTGGTGTTGAAAAAGGATCTGTTGCTTGTCCTGTGAACCAGTCACTCTGCAGTAACACTCTTCCTGCTAATGTGCCAGAAGACGACAAGCCACGCGGTATTTCCAAGGAGCTCCTTGGTGTAACTAGTGACGGCCAAATAGGTACGACACCGCCTGCTACTGAAACCATCCCGGTAAAGGCCACAGCTGCACAGTCGGCTTCCAACGGTTGTAAAACGACAACGATCGGTGTGACAGTCCAGCATCGTCCCGTCCCGGAACTCTGTGGTGATACCCACAACACCGCTGAACCAGTCCAAGTAACGGTCGCGACAAAGTCAACGGTCGGGGATATACCTGGAGACAAGACAGTGTATCCGCCGCAACAAGACGCCAGGCATTGTCACAATGGTGTTGTAGACATCCCTGACGAACGCGTTAACCAAAAAGGATCTGCTGCTGGTCCTGAGAACCAGTCACTCTGCAGTAACACCCTTCCTGCTCGCGTGACTGAAGCTGACAAGCCTTCAGAGCCACGCGGGGTATCCAAGGAGCTACTTGGTGTAACTAGCGACGGTCGAATAGGCACGATGCCGTCTGCTGCTGAAACCATCCCGGTAAAGACCACAGCTGCACAATCGGCTTCCAACGGTTGTAAAACGACGACGATTCGGCGATTCGTGTGTCCTGTCCCGGAACCCTATAGCTATGGTGATACCGGCAACACCGCTGAACTATCCCAAGCAACGGTCGCGACAAAGTCAACGGTTGGCCTTACAGCCGAAGACATGACGGGACATCCGCCGCGACAAGACGCCAGGCATTGTCAACATGGTGTTGTAGAAATCGCTGAACGAAAGCCATCAGCGAGCGTGTTACTTAGCCTCCTTACATCTACTAAAGCCGGCAATGTGCAGCGACCACCAACTGCAAGCCGACCCGAGGAGACGCCCGACGTGCCGAATATGTGTCGGGGAAGGGAGACACCGGAAGCAGTCGACTCATCGGTCGCCCTTGATCTAACGGTTCGCAAAGAGCCAGCTCCAGTTGTCACGGGGAGTAGGTATACCTATGAACGTCAAGAAGGAAGTACCGGACCTTATAGATACCAGACGGCTAGCGATCCGGTGAGGAAAATGTGTAGCAACGACGCCACCAGCAGACAAGCAGGAGCTACAGGAGAAAAGACAACACCACCAAAACCATCGCAGCAACAAATCAAATCGGAGCCGGGTGTGTCTACATGTGCGTACGTAGAAAGTGCGAACTCATCGATGCGGCATTCGAGACTGCCGGACTTCGCTGAAAACGCACAGCAAGGAGGCAGCAGACCTCAGCACCCATATCCATCTCAGGCTCAGATCACGTCGCAAACATCGATCATGTCCACAGAGCGCACGGCGACCGTGGGAGAGCCGCGTTCGTCCGTTTCTCCACTTGATGAGCTCCAGACTTTCTCAGGGAACGTTGACAAATTTGGCCCTCCTCGTCGCCACCCAAACTCAGCCGCCTTTGGTCCGCCGCGTTACGTTCCTACGGGCGTCGCTCAGAAGCGATATGCCTCTCCTCCACTTCACCACCTTAATGAGGTCCAGACTTTCTCAGGGAACGTCTCCCCGTCGCCGTCAAACGCAGCTGCCTCTGGCCCACCGCATTACAATCCTACGGGCGCCGTTCCTCCACTCCACTCCCGTCATGACGTCCAGACGTTCTCAGGGAACGTTGATGAATTGACCTCCTCCTCAATACCGAAGAACTTCGGTGCACCGAATGTTGGCATTCCTGCAGGCTTCGTTACCAGGAAGCGTAAGGGGTCGCCGGTGGAAGAGATGGCAAACGTGCCGTCCAAAAGAAAGTCTCCCTGTGAGCTGATGGGGAACTACGCCGTTCAGCAGCAGCAGGGACAAGGCGAGAAGTTCTGTCAGGAAGGTCTGTCGTCACACTCGGTATGTTCACCGTCAACCATCACTGGCCACGTCAGACAAGCTGTGGGTCCAACTCAAGGTGTCATCAGTGATGCCATCTATAAGAAAAACGACATGAGGAGGCTTCAGTTAACTTGGGAATCTTGCGGCCCAGTTGACGGGGTTCCTAGGGATAAGGCCCAAGAAAAGTTTCCCGTGGTGATAGTCTTCGAACAGATGAAGGTCGCCCTTACCTCGGACTTCGTCTCCCTCTTTCCGCACGTCACTCTCACAGATTTCATGAAGGCTTTAGGAGGGATAGGGCTGAAAATTTGCCCATGTCCCGTATCCGTCAAGGAGTGGTTCATGCAGGTGGGGAAAGAGGATGCGGCGTGCTCGACTGTTGTGAAGCTAGGGTTTGAAAGCGTTTCCTACGTCGCTCTGTTGCTGAGCAAGCAATTATCCCAGCAGAGATGCTACACATCATCAAATGAGAACACTTGCATTGGGAACAACATAACCAACGCCACGGCCGAGAATATCCGGGTCTCGAGCACCGGACACGCGAACTGCTACCGACGTAGTAACGATCGTCATCAGATGTCGACCCCGCCCTATCATGGTTCTGAGATGCCAAACGTCAACAATCCACCTGCAGTACCTAGGTCCGCCGTTAGGGCTCCTCCAAGTCCACTCGTACTCGAAAGTCCGGAGGATAGTAGTAGTGGCCTACAGATAGTAGCCGTACAGAGTCTTGCTACGGGAGAAGGTTACAGTATGGTAGGGAACCAGCAAAGGGTGTCTACTGAAGGAATGGCTGGTAGTGGCCAGCGGGACACGTCGCAGCAGAAGCAGCATCGCGCACCGGCTCACCCGCCCCGTCCTTCAAGAGCGAGGATGGAGTCGGTCCAGGGACCGTATCAACACCCCGTGAGCAGCAGCAGCCAGCAACCGTACTACCCACCTCCTACTGCCCCTGCTGCATTCCAGAGCAACAACAGCGGCGTGCCTATCGTCAACCTGCAGACGTGGTCACAAGTGAGAACTGTGGAGTACTGGCAACAACATGCGACCCGAAAGGGAATCACCAGCCATCGACAGTACCAGGGTTAGCTTACCTGTCCCATGCAACGTACACAGGACTGCGGACTGGTTGGAATCATTGAGCGACCGTTCTGTCTATGGACCTTTACATGTTAACACGTTATTATGCATGCACGCATGGATGCTGTGTATTGTCCATGTACCTTAAACGTTTTGAGTTGTTGTTTTGAGAGTTCTCAAGTTTATCATATGTTGCTGTAGATGTAGTCAAATGTTTACATATCAACTAACAACATAAGATTTATTTCCTTATACGAGTTCGCTTGTTCCAGGAGAGATCTGGTAAGGCTGGAAATGTTAAAAGTCAAAGTAAGGTCGGAAAGCGTCAAATGAGTTACTAGAAAAGACGGCCACGAAAGGTGAATTTCTATGTTATGTACAACTATTTTTGAAAACATCCTATGTAGTTTCTATACTACACTACACTAGTTTCTAGACTACATTAACATTGATTTATATGATGTTCATTTGCCTTGTATTCCAAATATGAAATGGTCGGGCAAAAATCCCAGTTTAAGATGAATTCTATGCGCCATAATTATGTACAACTATTTGTTACAGAAAGTATGTTCCTATACATTCCTGTACATTCCTATACTGAAACTACATTTACATTGATTTATATGTTCATTTGCCTTGTTTTCCTAAGTATTAGACGGACGCGTTAAATGATGGATACATGGTAAAAAATCTCATGAATTTCTATACGCCTGTGCACCTGCGCCACATTACATTATACGTACAGCTATTTGTTACAGAAAGTATTTTCGAAAACCTTCGTATCTAGTTTCCATACAGAAACTACATTGATTGATTGATTTATATGTTCATTTGCCTTGTATTCCAAAGATGAGGTGTAGATTAGAAATTAGAAATTATTCTTAACGTTTGAATAAAGAAGTTTTTCTACCTCCTGTCCGTCTGCCTTGACTGTGACTGCTGAATTGATTAATGTATGTATACGTATTTGCTATGGTATAAATGGTGAATACGGTATGTAACATGTGTGGACGGACATAATAATTAACTTCCTCAGGATAAGATGACTCGTGCACATGCAACCTTAATCATTAACTACTGGTGTTTATTTTCACTGCTCCAAGAATTCGTAGCTCAGCCATTCGTTATCAGGGAACCATATGTAGGCCATCCATCAAGTGTCAAGATGAGCGGGGATGTATGAAATAAAGGGAGGGAGACACTGGTCTCAGTGAGACAGACGGTAGATGCAGCGGAGAGGATAACATCTGGGAACTCGAGTTCCACGATCTCATACCTCGCCAAATGAGGTTAGCCTTTATGGCTAAGAAATTATAGATTAATTACTGATTGTGCAAATAGGATCCTATATTGCATCAATTATATCTGTAGATCATATTCTACACCAGAAGACAGTCTTATCTTATCAAAGAATGCCATTATAGTATTTCCTCATAAATTATGCAAATGAGATCCTTATTTGAATAAGTTATGTTTAATTATGTTCACCTTTACATAACTTTCAAATATCCCAAGTATGAAATTCCAGGCAGTTACCACTATGTAATTATAACATTTTCTCATTAATTATGCAAATTAAGTCCTCATTTGCATAATTGATATCTGCCTGTATTTCTGCCGTTCTCAATTATGTATGACACATGCTTGAATAGTCCTATCATGGAATGCAGCTGATTAATAGACTTTCCTCATTAATTATGCAAATTACATTAATATTTGCATAATTGTAATATCATTATGTCAAGCATCACTTCAGCTACCTACATGCCAAAAATCACGACGATCCATCCACCGGTTCTTGAGTTATCAGCCTTTAAACATTTTCAACTAACGCCCCTGCAGTTCCAGAGCAAGCAGCTAGGGGGCCCAAACGCACGTCACTTCTTCCCCAGCACGAGAGCTACCTACCATGCAAATTTCGTCACCCCAGCATGTCTGGATCATGAGATATCAAAACCGGAAGTTCAGCTGCAGTACCATAACAAGCCGCCAGGGGGCCCAAAATCTAATCAGTTCGAGCTCTCATCAAGACCTACCCACCTACCAAATATCAAGATAATCCATATAAGCTTTCTCGAGTTATGCTGTTGACAGACACACACACACACACACGGCCACGAAAACATAACCTTCTCCAATTCTTGGCGAAGGTAATAAAGAAGCTATGCTCGGCCCTATTCATATGAAGTCAGTGAAGGCGCTTTACATGTGGTTTCCCCCGCCGGTTTTTTTTCAAGTGGCCCCATCTTACCGCTCCAAATCATATTGAAAGCGCCTCGATCCCAAACCACTTCTAGAGGTGGTTTCGAATCGGTTTTACCGCAATCTGAATCAGTCTGAACGCGATTTCACCTGGTCATGGATTACGGGATGATATTTCTTTATTTATATGCAATACCAAATTTTACTTGGCAGCAACTTAAAGAGCAGTAATGGCCAAATAATGTGTCCGTTCTAGGACGAGCTTCACCGCCTCTGGCGGGACCACGTCGGTATTCGGCCGAGATACGCTGGGAGGGGGGCATCAGCAAGCAGGTCGTTGACCTCTGATATTAATAACACGCTACCTTGCGAGTTTTATAGCCTCTACCAGGCACCGCGGATCGCTGGAAAAATAGTAGAAATTGGCCGAAATAAAGGGATAGTATACCAGAGAAGATCCAGGGCCATAGAAGCTCCAATTTGCGACCCACGGCCAATTTCTACTATTTTTCCAGCGATCCGCGGTGCCTGGTAGAGGCTACGAGTTTTCATCAAACAACAATGAATGCAGTTTCAGAGAATCGTGATCGGGCACGGTTTGAAAGGAATGTATGGCACGTGGACCAGATGTGATGAATGCGAATAACCCGAATCGCGGTTCGGGTGGTTTCATATAAACAAGGCCTAAATCTGTCTCCGTTTCCGAAAGAGTCTGTCGAGAATTCTACACCTTTCTCCCGCTGCTCTACAGGTAGACACTGCTACTACTAGGCAGTGTGTATTGGAGTACTAGTAACTTCATCAAGTGTACCTTTTAGAAATACACTTTCTATTATCATGTCCCTCCTACATCGAAGAAAGAAATAGCTAGATATGTAGTACCAAGGTACTGAAGAGTTTGCCTACTCTCTTAGTCTCTATCTAAGCAGAGGTTTGGGTTTTGCATGGAGGTAGAACCTCCATGGGTTTTGGGGGTATTTTTAGCGTGTTTTTAGGATTTTTTTATTGGGGTTTCTCTTTTGCACTGAATTTTTGTCCCACCAAACCACAGTGCAAAAGAGAAACCCCGATAAAAAAACCTAAAAACACGCTAAAAATACCTCCCAAACCTCTGCTTGGAGAGTAGAGTTTGCCATGCATTGCTTGTATTTACTGGACACCCCGCAAAGCATGACGGGAAATATTTTCGCCCCAGACCGGAAGCGCGCTCATTTGACTGCGAGACCTCGTCAGTGGTGGACGTCTATAGCCTAGACTCGCTCCTAGAGCAAAACAACATGGTCTCTGCCAGGCTGTGGTAGCGCTAGCAGAGTGTGGGCCAGTTTGAAATCCTGTTGAAACCTCCGTGGATCTAATAAGCTGACAACAGGTTAGTGTGGACGTTCTTAACGGTGTGTATTTGTTTTGTTTGTAGGGGCTATAAAATTTTCATAAGTAACGAAGCCTTGACCAAAACAACTCGTCACAGCGTAGCCGCGGCGACTGTTGCAGGGCTTCCCTTGCTTGCAGTCTTTTACATTAGCCCTAACAACATGTTTGTTCAGTTGGCCCAAATTATGCACCGCTCCGCGACTGTTGTTAGGGCTAAATAACTGCAAGCAAGAGAAGCCCTGCAACAGTCGCCGCGGCTAGTCATAGTGGTGTGATGGACGAAGAAAAATACAAAAAAGAGGCATCAAAACAAACATACTTACCCACATATCGAACTAATCTCCAAGCAGATCTTTTGATGGGGGTAAGACAGTATCAAATTGGCCAGTCTGTATCAATCCTTGGGTGGGGAAATGGATACAGACTGGCCAATTTGATACTGTCTTACCCCCACCAAAAGATCTGCTTGGAGATTAATATCGAACGGGTAAATTCGGTAACGCTACATACGGTTAGTGATAGGATGGTTTTCATGTCGTTTACGGTATATTTGGAGATAAATTGTGCCAAACTGAACGTCCTTGGCTTGGTCAGTTTGAATACGCTCCGAGATAATTTTTTTGGGAAGGGGGGTAACCTGGTCCCAGACTCGCTACACGGTTACCCGCTCATTTGCTATAATGCTGTGATATTAATATAACGTTATGTTTTCAAATTCTGTTTACGTGAGACGGTGTCTTTCTGTGTTGCTAATCGAGTTCGTGAATATACATATTCGAGAGACTGGGTGTGAAGAGACAAATATTTGTCATGCATATTAGTTACACACCAATTTAATTTCTTGGTTAACGGATTCGCCCGCTTCATTTTTTTCTGATTTGCAAATAAAAAGAAAAATTCAGAATCAACTACAAAATGCTCATATTTTGCCCTAAACCGTTGAAAACAGTCCTTTTCATCCTAGTTGTTACAGTTATTTCATCTTTCAATGCATCATTAAAAGTTCAAAATTCATTGTTTAAATTTTGAACCAGCCTGGTGTGTTGGCACCTATCGTACCATTTTGGGCCATAATAGGATGCCTAGGCCTGTTTAATTTTTTTTTTCACCCGCCCGCTTCATTTTTTTTGGGTAGAAAAATCCGTTAACCAAGAAATTAAATTGGTGTGGCCTTACCATACATTTAAAACAATGCGTGACGTGGTCATTCTGTCAATATAAATACATGTATATTTTACATACCTTACATTTCACAGCAATATGGGCATTAAAGACCTATTGCCAGCCCTTGTCAACTCGACACAACCCATCACTATAGAGGAGATGGTTGGAACTGTGGTGGCCATTGATGCGTCCTCTTGGCTTCACAGGGGGATATATTCCTGTGCCAAAGAGCTATTTCTGGGACAGAAGACAGACAGGTGTGTAGCCTTGATTGAATGTACCTCTTCTTCTTCTTCTTCTTCCAGTGGCTAGTATGAGATGGGGTTCGCCAGGCCTCCATCCGGGTGGTTTGTACTAATGTAGTGAATCACCAACTCCCAGACAGTATTAGTTTTTTGTACCATCGCACACCGGGGCATGCCCCTACTGTGGTGGGTTCTTTTACGTGCGTGGGGTATGGCTCTCCCCAAACACGGGACCTTTATTTAACGACAAAATTAACGTCCTATCCGAGGGACGTCCCTAACCGAGGCTAGGTACTCATTTACACCTTACTGAAGTGAGGAAAGTCGTGTAAAATGCCTTTCCCAAGGGCAGAAGATCGGTGGCGAGGGTGGGGTTTGAACCCGGGACCCCTGGTTCCGAGCCGAGGACGACACCGCTACGCCACACGACCCCACATTGAATGCCATCAACATACATTATGTGGTACTTTTTAAAAATCTGGTTGCAATTAATAATACAGCTACTTCCACACATTAATTTCTGCCATTGTTATTCAGCTTGTTATATTGGTACTAGTAGGGCTTATTCTATCATATCAGTTTAAGGCCACACCAATTTAATTTGTTGGTTCTCGGATTTTTTCAGAAAAAATATGAAGCGACAGGGCGAAAAAAAATAAAAATAAAAACAGGTCTAGGCATCCTATTATAGGCTTAAATGCTACAAAATGAGCCATGAAGTCAACACAAAAGGCTGGGTTAAAATTTAAACATTGAATTTTGAACTTTTAATCAAACCACTGCAATGATAGATGGGAAAACTGTAACAACTAGGAAGAAAAGGACTTTCCTCAACTGTTGGGGGGCAAAACATGAGCATTTTTCAGTTGATTCAGAATCAATTTTTTTTTTTGCAAATCAGAAAAAAACGAAGAGGCGAATCCGAGAACCAACAAATTAAATTGGTGTGGCCTAACAAGCAGATACAGTGAACATGTATGCTCACATGATTCTTGGGCTAGCAAAGACCTAAAAGTGTGTGTTATCTACTAAGTACTATATTTTAAACTTGAAGTAATATCAAGGTTGGATAGAGTGATATCAAGGTTGGATAGAAAACCTATGTACAAACTACAAATTCTTATTTTCTTTCAGCTACATCAAGTTCTTTATGGACAGAATCGAGCTTCTGCTCCGAAACAGGATTACACCCCTGGTCGTGTTTGACGGACCAAGCCCTTTGCCAGCAAAAGCCCAGGTGGCAGCGGAAAGGAGAGAGTAAGGGGACTTTTCAGAATGTATCTAGATTATTTTATACTAGTGAAGCATACCTAAACCCAATGTTAGGTTCAGGTCCGGATTCAAGTCCAGAGGTTTAGGTTCAGTTCCAGACTTGTAAGTCCGGACCTAAAGCCATGGCATAAACAAAATTGCATGTTGGCAACCTTGCAATGTTGTCTGGGTGAAACTTTGGCCACATAACATGGAGGCCGACACTTGACGATGCCCGATGGCAATGTTTTCTTCATTTTGCAGCAAAGATTTTGCAATGTACGGAAGGTTTTAGGTGGTTTGGACAGAAAAGGGGTATGTGAAATGGTCTTTTATGGTAATTTTACAGTAAGTCCGGACTCGGTTCTTGACTTTTATGTTTTTTTGGACTTGAACCTAAACATTCTTACAAGTTCGGATCCAAGTCCAGTGAACCGGTATGCATCACTATTTTATACCAACAAAACATTAATGCTCAGTGGTAGAAAATCAGGATGTGTAGAAATGCATTATCTTCTTTATTTTATGTTCATCCAGGAAAAGGACTATTGCCAAGCAGCTGGCTTGGATCTCCCTCCGCCAGGGAGATGAGAACAGGGCTAGGCAACATTGCTGCAGTGCTGCAGAAATAACACCGGATATGGTCAACAATATCATCAAGGTCAGTATTTTATTTTTAAGTCAGTTATGCAAAATGTTAGTTAGCAAAAAGGATTATTACCTACTGTAAATGTTTTAACTTCGCGATATTCGCGACAAACTTTTTGTCGCAAAGTCATCTCCTCCCGAACACTTTTGTTCCGTACCGCCCCCCTCCCCAGCACACCATGCATATACGAAGACAACAATGACAACAAAGTAACTAGTACTAAGACTCGAAGAATAACATCGTTTTTGTAATGAAATAGAAATTTATTTCAACAAACATACAATTCATCTGCATTTCATGAAGTCAATATTTTGTAACTACATGTAGAACTTCTTTTAAAACAAGTCGGTATAAAAGAAAATATGACCACAGTAGTCTGTGGACAATGCCAGAAGAGTTTCAAGTACGCTAGTTTCCTGGACGTTACATACTAGTATTGAACGTTACTCACCGATTTTTACAAGTATCGGTAAAAAAAGGTTGGCTTGTGTATAAGAAATGTAAATCAGAATCATTTACAGTGCACTAGAAGATATGAAAATCCATGCATCGGGACCGACTCTCAAATTTGCCGATACCGCGAAAAAAATCCTCGCCAACATGCATTTACAGTAGCCAACTTTTAGCCATGGTAAAATTTAGTCTAGTATTGTTTTGCAGGCGTTGAAAGACAAAGGGGTTGACTTCGTGGTGGCACCATACGAAGCTGACCCACAACTGGCCCTCATGAGCTTGAGCAGAACGGCCGACTACATCATCACCGAAGATACTAACCTGCTAGTCTATGGGGCAAAACAGGTATATTAAAACTACCTGTGCACGAGAGATTATGTAAATATTGTACAATGAATGCAGTGGAAAATGAAATACATTTTAGCCAGTGTCCTCGCTATGAGACCGAAAGAAACAGATTATTTCAGACAGTTACAACAATTTCTCCATCCTTTCATCATTTAGAAGATCACCAAAAAACTGCATTTCTACTAAGATCACAAAACCCACTAATTATGCAGAATATGGGACTATTCATTATGATGACATTATCCACTGCCTTCAAAGAAGAAGTCGAACCCCATAATAGCTGGCATAGTAGTAAAAGTAGAAGTTTTTTCCAGACAATTGTTACCTGTCTCCTGTTACTGTATTGCAATGAGTATTATACTTGATTGTAAAAGCAATTAGCCTTCGGGAATGATTTTGCGAATAAAGTTTCTATTAAAGGCAGTTTTTAGGGCCTGGAAACCTGATTTTTCAAAGCCAATATTCTAGTCATTTATCTACATAATGAGTTGAAACCACACTATTATGATGTATATTTACCTTCATGAAGAAAAAATACCCAAAATTGTGACGGAAAATGGTTACTGGAAGGACCCGGGCTGATTTTTAGGTACCACCCAGAAAGTGAAGGACTCATCTTGGGGCTTGTTTCTGCAGTTTTAAAACCCACTGTATGAAATACTGATTGAAATGTTCTAATGTGAAGCAGTATGTGTCAATATCACAAAGATAGCCTTATTCAAAATATTCCCAGTTTCTCTGCTCTGATATTGCATTGGATGCCTTTAAAGTCTCTTTTTACCCTCCATGTAAATGGGGGGTATTGTTTTTACTCCGTTTCATGTTTGGTCTGATATCTGAAGATCGGTGAGAAGGAACTTTATGATATTTGGCAGATTGATGGATGGGGCCTTGGAGATTGTGTAGGTTGACTTTGAGCACCTGGTGATTGACCTTGGTACTGCAGTTTAATTTTTTTATTCTATTGTTGGCACGTTATGGTCCGTGTGTGCGATGCTAAGGTAGCATGTAGTTGTGGTTACAATGGTTTAGTGATGTAAATTTGGGCCCCCTAGCTGTTTGCTTTGAACCAGAATTGCTATCTCAATGTCAGATTGTTTGCGTTGAATGATCTCAGAACCCGGTGGATGGTTGGCGATCATTTTTGGTATGTGGGTAGACGCTGATTGTCTTTGCGTTTTAGCGTGCATTAGCAGGTTGTCGTAGATTTGCATTGCTTATTTAAAAGGATTTTCACATTTTCACCCCTATTTAATAATAGGATGGTCTGTTTGACCCCAAATTGGTACAGAGTGTTTTTGTTTATACCTCCAGCTGGCAGGTCAGGCCAATCTATTTTTACCTCTAGACGAAATATATCTTATCTTTAATCGGTCATTCAGCAGGGAACTGGGTCATCTGTGGTTTGTTAATATGTTGTGCTTGAGAGGTCATTGACCTCAAACAAACCATGGTAACAAGACACTAAACGCCTGCACATGACAGCTTGGGCAACCCCTTCCAATACGAAGTGCCACAACAAAATTCTTAAAGGATAGACATCTATAGACATCTATCATTCTGCTGATAAAAACAAAGTTTGACTCATAATATCTCTATTAAAATACACCAAAGGATTACAAAATAACAAGCTATTTCATGGAGGGACGATGTCTACGACTTCTCCTTGTTTTTACAGAAATTACTTTGAAATACTTTTTTAACATTGAAATTAAGAAAGACTTTACAAATTTGAAATAACGACTCTTCAGGTGTCATAGCGAAAAAAAAAAAGATTATCATCACACCACATAATGTGTTGTTTAAGAAGGATTTTTTTTCTTCTATTTACAGGTTATCTACAATTGGGAAGGAGACCGAGGTCAACTCATTTGCCAACATCTCCTCTACAGATCATTCCCTGACCTCCCAGACTTCACCTTCCAGAAATTTCAATACATATGTATTTTGGCAGGCTGTGACTACCTAAAATCCCTTCCAAACATGGGGATAGAGGGGGCAAAGAACTTTGTTAAGGCACTTGGAGACAGGGATATTTTCATGGTAAGATATAATTACCATACATTGCTACACTGTTTAATGGACAAAGTTACAATGTTTCTTATATTACATCATGAGGCCACAGCAAGTAAATTTTATGGATGACATCTTCGGCAGATTCCAAATCTAATGCGAGCGTGCAAAAAAAAAACAAGATTCCTACAATTTAAAATTTTGACTCAATCATACAGCCAACATCATATATCATTGCATCAAGAAGAAACAAAACATTAAATCAGAGCCTTTTCTTGTCTCCTCTCTTCATAGCTATCTGCCATCCACCTTCAGGCATGGCAACAGACATCTTTGCCCATTTTGGGCATGTTAAACATATATTGTCAGAAGGCAACCAAATTTCTTGTTTTTTTTTCCAAAATCAGGAGAAAATCAATGCGCGCGCTGATGTCATCCATAAAAATTACTTGCTGTGGCCTGATCTCAAATACAGTAGTCCATCATTGACCAGAACAGATACAGGAATAGTTGCTCAACAAAATGAACAATTACTTGTACTGTACAGTTTACAAATGTGTGTTTAACCATTACAAATATCACTAACGATAAGTGCAATGTTTACAATGCAGCAAGTCAAGAACATCGGCTTGTTTGTAGGAGGACACATCACCGTTCCACCTGAGTATCCTGACAACTTCAAAATGGCTCTGAACACGTTCACCTACCAGACTGTCTACAATCCTGACAAGGGGTACACTCCACTGCATGAATACCCGCCTGGCTTGTCTGCTGCGGACTTCACGTATGCTGGATTGTATCCTTAAGGGGGCACACCCCAGTTTATTTGGTGTTTAAATTCGAAGCTGCACACCCTCAAATCTAGCGACCGTCTCTGCCGTGGAATTGGTGTTTAAATTTGAAGCTGCACACCCTCAAATCTAGCGACCGTCTCTGCCGTGGAATAATTCAGAAGGAGAATAACTGTATGGGACGAAAGGATATCTCTTCAGCTACAAGACCAGCTGAGTTTGGTTTCTTCAACCATTTTAAGTTTTGTAAAACCAATGGAAAAAACATTATTTTCACCCCAAAATTAATGCACAAAATTGCAAATTTTCGCATAGGATAATAGCATAGAAAAAACTTTTCGGCAGAAATGACTGATGCCGGTAGGAAGACTCAAACCTTGACTATACCTGAGTAAATTATAAAGAAAATTCTAGTACTGAAATTTTTTTGAAGGTCCACGGCTCAAGGGGTTGCAAATCCACTCCTAGGAAAGCGCAGAGCGAAACCTAGGTCAAACGGGCGAAGAAATTTTCACCCCAAAATCACCATTTCTTACACTCTTCAGCCATGTTAATGTTTAATGATATTTCGTGGCAGTTTATGAGAAATATCGCCTCAAACTTGGACCCTCCATTTTTATACCTCCATGGACCCTCTAAACCCCTTTGTCACTGTTTTACCACGGACGACCCCGCTCGCGGAAAAACTGGGGCGTGCACCGTTAACAATTCTGAAGTGTGACTCTATGCATAGTTTAAAAAAAAAAAACACGTCTGCGGGTTCTTTGTGCAGTAACATAAAACAACATGACATATGCCTTTTCAATCCAGGACTTCAATGTTGTTGTTTTTTCTTAACAAGGCATTAGACCATTACCTGACGCACCAGTTGCAGACTTAAGCCGAACTTGGGTCAGTGAGGATGTGCTGAACAAAACAGGTAAATTGACTCAAACTCGGTACAAACACTTCTTAATGTGACTGTATTGAAATCACATCTGGGAAGTCCTGTTCCAGTGATACAGTATTGTCTCTTTGCCTTTCAGACCAGACTGACTTCACATTCAAGGGGACCTCAAGCAGTGATGATGAGTCTACAGAGTCCACTCACTCCACACCATACAACTTGAGAAGTCAGCAACAGAAGCCCATTTCCACAGTACTCAGTATTGGCGAGGACCTCAAATGGACACCCCCGAGCTTTCCTGTCATGACCATTGATTTCATAACTGGCACACTGTCTTCTGAACATAGCCAAACACACACACAATGTTTGTTCGAAGCCTCTGATCGCAGGGTGCTGTTATACACCCCTCCCTTTGACATTATAATACAGCGTTCATGTACCATAACTGCGCAAAACACCTCATACCTTGTGGTATGGGAATGGGGCTTTCACGAACCACCTATCAACTTTGAAGCACACCGTAATGACACAGAGAGTGAGGATGAAAGTGATATGTTTGAATTAGACTCAGACAGTGAAGACGATGATAGAGATCACGTGTTGCCATTTGAAGTAATGGGGGTCGCACATTCTAGAAGAAGGCAGGAAGTATTAGAGTGGGCACACGATGAAATGGTGGAAAGGAATAGTACCCCCCAAGTAGAGCTTATTCCTGAGCGCATTAACCCACTTGATGAGATTGCAATTGCTGTTTGTATCAACACAGCGAGAGGGCCAGAGACGGTCGGGTATATTGCCAAAGAAATGACGCAGTATGTACATCCCATTATCAACACTAACAGACTGACCTGTGCAAGGATAGGTAGAATTGCTTTTAGGACAACTTACGAAAATTATGGATGGTTCATGAAGTTACTTATCACAAGGAAGGGCACATGGGATAGGGCAGTTATTCGACAGTCACGCCATATAATGTAGATAAGGAGGGGGGAGTTCCTCTTCTATGTTATGAAATCTAGCAATAATTGTTCTGGCTTAGCCTCCTTTGCAGACTTGTTGGGGTCTGCGTTACTTTTTTCTGTGAGCGACGAGAGTAATATGCCACGGAGGGATGATTTTGCCGCCGAGGGAGTTTTGCCACGGAGAGAAGGTTTCCCGCTCCAACAAAAACCTTCTCTCTCCGTGGCAAAACTCCCTCGGCGGCAAAATCGTCCCTCCGCGGCATTTTACTCTCGTCGCTCACAGAAAAAAATAACGCCGACGCCCAACAAGTCTGCGAAGGAGGCTAGTTCTGGCTCCCCTTTGTGGCATTTGCACCCTGCATGGGTTGTCGATCCCTGGATCAGCAAACCTGGACTCCCTTGTACGGTCTAGTCGTTCAGTCTGGCCGGATGGCTGATCAAACGAGGCTAGCTGCGGCTGGAATCTGTCGTTGATCCCCGTATGGTATAGCCTGGGTACCATCCGGATTTTCGCTACGCAACGCTCGAAAAAATCACGTATGGTACCCAGGCTACGTATGGTACCAGTATGACACGTCCCAATCCAGTCTCTTTGCGTACTTATGGCAGATTTTCCTGAGAAGGAGGAAATAATCATGTTAAAGTTTACTATTGTCTTCAGTTTTAACTCCTATAAAGCAGCATAGGATATATGATATGTACAAAATGCAGACCTCAGATATCATGTTTTTCCATTGTTATATGTGGACTACTAATATATACAACTATTTCATTTTGATAGTTGTCTGTACTGTACTAAACAGTAACAGAAGTGGAAATAAAATAACATTTAAACCACTATTTTCTGATCTCAATTTATATTGTATAATCAATATCTCTCATACATGTATATCTGCTGAAAGAACTCTTTATTATAGAAGAATAAATACACTGAGTCATGGCCTTTTACAAGACATTTCAGCCCCCAAATACAAAATAACAGTAGACTGCACCTTTATAAAATAACAGCACAATGTACCTTCACTAATTTTTTGCTTCATTGTTGCAATAAAATTCATATTGATTAACCTAATAGTCTCAAAATTTGTACCATGTCTTTGGCGTTGACCTTGACACCCTTACACTCGAAGTCGGCCACAGATTGTTTGCGTTTTCCTGTCACCGCCGTGTACGTCAGCCCCGTGTCAGGGCCCTGGTGTCAGGGTCGTTGCTTCAACCAAATCGAATCTTCGTCAATTTACAATCACGTAACTTACAGAGGCCCAACAATTTGGAACAACCTAAGTAGAACTTTACAAATTAGTCCCTCCTTCACCATTTTCAAAAATCATACTAAAGCAACTTTCATAAATAACCCCACACATTCTTAATTTTTGTTTAATTTTCCTTGTTTACTACTTTTCATTACTACTTTTCATTATTGTAGATAGTATTGTATCGTATTGTATTTTATTGTTTTGTTTCATTTACCCGTTACCTAGTAAGTTATTTCTTATTTATCCGATTTATTTGAATTGTTAATTAAGTTATGAAGGGAGGCCTCCTCATAAGCATTTTATGCTTCCGGCATCCCTGCACTGTTACATTTCATTTATATTTTCTTGTATCTGTATTGTTACATTATGTTTTAAAGTGCGAATAAAAAACTGAAACTGAACTGAACCAAGGACGTTCACGTCCTTGCTTCAACCCATCTATAAAAGAAAAACAAATCACAAGTCATGGGTTTTACTATACATCATGTATACAATGCTACATATTAGCGCAAAACTGTTAACAACCATCCAGCGTGCACCTGCCTAGCTGCTTCAATGATAGTGAAACCGTCAGTACTAAACATCATGTCGCGCATACGGCATGCCAAACACATATCAAACTTTCAAAGCAAAGCGATCGTGAGTTACACCTGCGAACATGTTACAGGACAAAAATTGAACTGACCGTAATACTCAGCCACGGAGGTCACTGACCTCTGTCACGGAGTAAAGATTCCGGAGGCTGATGACTTGTTGATCAAGTCGCTAGGTGGCGCACCAACGTTACATATCTGCTGGTCTGTTTGTGTTTTGGCCTTTGGGTACTCTCCAAGCAGAGGTTGTGGGGGAATTAATGATCGTTACCTTTTTATATATGGCCGTTTTTTTGTCCTGACCCCCACCAACCCGTCGGTGGCCGCGGACCTTCTCTGGCTATTGGATACTGCCTGACCAATTTGATACTGTCTTTTTGTCACCGATAGGGATCTGCTTGGAGATTAGCCTTTGGGGGCTTTTGTGGTTCAACGTCGTCACATGTTTTGCGAATGGTGTTTGCCAGCTTGCGACTTTCCTTGTAGAAAAGCGAAACGCGCGTAAAACACTAAGCCGAACCCCACATCTGCTTTGAGATTAGTCGCACAACGCCCATTGGTTCCCTGAGCTACAGAAGACTTGTCTGATTGGTCAACGCCACGAACTTAAGGTGGGGAGGGGGGCAGGACGTGGCAGGGTCATTTCAGGTGAAAAACAACAAGATTAGACTGAGGGCACTTTGATCAAGACAGGCACAGTGTCAGGCATTAGGACCACAGCTAGGCATTCGGACTTGGTAACAGGTAATGTTAGTGTTCCGCTAAACGCACACAAATCATAGCTACTCGGTAATAGTTTTGGCTACTTTATTGAAATGCAAGTGTAGATGCAAGTTCAAAGAAAATATCGTGCTCGGGAAGTTGTCAAATTTTGAATCCACTCACCACGTCTTCTTGGAATAGATCACGATATTCTAGATACGGTTAATCTGTGAAATTGCAAAATCAGACCGATGAGGTAGTAGTCAAATCATAGGACATGTCAATAATTTATGATGAATTACAAATCTCTTATAAACAAACAAACCTCAAAAGAATGATCCGTAACTTACCAGTAAGTTAACATATATCAGAAGTCCTTTAAACTTTTTGACAACGTCACCTTCATAACCATACTATACTTGGCCGTTTGCATAGTTGCAATCATCTTATTTCACCAAATAAGTACATGTAGTAAGGTTCAACGAGGGGAGGTGTCCAAAACACCTGGGCAGAGGATATGTTGGGAGGGGCTCACCTGAGATAATGTTACATCAAGGGAAGGGGCAGGACATGGCCCTGGTCAACGTTCACACACACAAACAACCTAATGTAAACCACTTTATGTTCATGGTAGCAAAAGTCTGTGGTCTGAGAAAAATGGACATATTCGTGGAACTGTATGTTATATTCTCGGTGTCGGCAGGTGCAGCAAAAAGAAAGCAATTTGTGTACATATGTAATCATTATGATAAGTTCTCGGTACAGAAGTGACTGCGAAAACCGCAAATATATAAAAGTAATGCAAAAAAATTGTGATTTACAGTACTCTGTCTGGACAAACAAATACACAAACCTTAGTAACAGCTACCCCAAATTACACTGTAAGTAAATAATGATACTGTAATTAAAAAAGGTCCCTATAGGATGCTAAGAATGATATTTTCTGTTTGCCCACACAGGTACAGAATGGAGTGTCCCATCCCTGTGGTAGACTTCCTGCCCTACAGCCTGGTGAACCACTGTGCCGATGATGACCAGCTGGCAGCCCTGGCCGGCCAGCTCATCCACGCCTTCAGCACCACTGGGTTTGTCTACCTGTGGCACCACGGCATTCCTGCAGCTCAGGTAGGGTCAGGGCTCACTAATTACTTGGTTAACGGATTTTTCAAGAAAAATAATGGAGCGGGCGGGCGAAAAAAATGAATAAATAAAAACAGGCCTAGGCATCCTATTATGGCCCAAAATGGTACAATAGGAGCCATGAAGTCAACACACCAGGCTGGTTCAAAATTTAAAACATGAATTTTGAACTTTTAATGATACCATTCAATTGAACGGTGGAATAACTGTAACAACTAGGAGGAAAATGACTGTTTTCAACTGTTCAGGGCAAAATATGAGCATTTTGCAGTTGATTCTGAATTTTTATTTTTATTTGCAAATCAGAAAAAAACGAAGCGGGCAAATCCGTTAACCAAGAAATTAAATTGGTGTGGCCTTAGGGCTTGAAAGTAAAGGTGGTCCAATGGCCACTGACCACTAAAAATGTAGGCCGGGAGTGGGACAACTAAAAAGACACTTTGGGACATTTTTGGAACAATAGAAAAATAGTCAACATGTTTATCAGGCACAAGTCCCGGCTTTTGGATCCAGAAAAGTCCCCCCAAATTTCCTGTCTACTCTGCAATTATAGTGCACCTGGGAGTGAACATAAGCAATTAAAGTTGAAGTTATACAAAACTTCCCAAAAAAACAGGTTGGGACAGTTCATCCTCACTTTAGGACAATTGAAATTTATTTTTGGGACAGTGCTGGGACAATAGGAAGAAAAGTTAATTTTGAGGCCTGTAGGGTGGTCTTCAGTATATACAGGTGTGTGAGCATGCACAGGGCTCGAAATACTTTTTTCTGCGTACCTGCACTGGTGCAGGTAACTTTGAAAATTACTTGCACCAGACAAATTTTACCTGCACCACTCAGACTTTGAGAAATATGAATCCTACTAAAACTGCGGAGAATCCAATGCCATTATTTCTTTTATAGGTGGTAACAGTCAATGCAGCAAAAAAAACACATATATGTATCTATAAATAATACATTGGACTTAGTGCAGGTTAGGTGCAGGTGCAAGAATCGGGACAGAGAAAAAGCAGTTGTTATGACAGAAAATGCAGATTCCAAAATAGAAAGGTCTGCAAATTACTATTTCTAGGTAGTCAAGATTGTAATCACACAAAACATTTTGCAGAAAACAGATCTTAGCTTAACAACTGATGAAAATCAGTCCCTTAGGGACCGTACGTTATTTATCGGGGGGGGAGGCCGGTGCGTAGGAAATCGGGCAGAAAAGGTTTTCCCTGGCCCTCCCCCCGTATTTATTTTTTTTCCCCTGGCCCCTCCCCCCGCTATAAGAAAACTTTCCTTGGCCCTCCCCCCCTTTCTGAAACATTACAAATCATGCCCGTAGCCAGGATTTTGAATGGGGGGGTTCTTCCCACTGCTTGAGGGGACCTCGAGCGACGTAGGCGCGAGGCGAGCGCCGAAGGCGCGAGGTTCCTAGGGGGGTCCGGGGGCATGCTCCCCCGGAAAATTTTGAAAAATTAACCTTCTAAAATGGCATTTCGTGCATTTTTGAGAGGGTTTCCAAAATAAAATCTGAGATAAATTTTTATTCAATGACAAAGGGAGCAGTTTTTCTACGATTCCAGTCCATCTTTTCAAGAAAAATCTTGGACCTTTACATAAAAAGTGGACAAAAAAGTGGACCTTTACATAAAAAGTGGACCAAAATGTGGACCTTTGAGCCTTGTGGGGGGGTTCGTCCAAATGCCCCTGAAACTACATCCTAATTAATACTATCAACAATCAATAATAATTTATTAATTGTTTGATATGATATTTAAGTGCGGCACGCGACGAAGTGAAATATTCCGTGGGAAGCTCCCGGCTCTTGAGCGTGCCCGCCGGGCCAAGGAAATGGGGCAAATTTGCGCGGACGGGGATTGGCTTTTAAAATACCTGGCGGTTTGTTGGGTCGGCGTTGTTCTAGATAGGCAGTATTCAGACCAAATAAGACTCTACTTTGCTACGCTCACGAAGGTTGCTGCGTTTTTGGCTGAACGAAAATGTCGGGGATTTTGTACCGACATCTTTTTCCGACGACGCCATTTTGGCGAACAGAGTTATGGGAGATATGGAAGAAACCAATCATACTCGGGGGCGACCAATTTCGGGCGAAGGCGCACACGCATTTTCGGTTCCGTGACCGGCTGCCAAGGACATATAGCGTGTACTTTCCTACTTCTCAAAGCATTGAAAAGGTATAAGAATTGTGATAAAAAGTTTTCCTTGGCCCTCCCCCCGCCTTNCCCCTGAAACTACATCCTAATTTAATTTAATACTATCAACAATCAATAATAATTTATTAATAGTTTGATATGATATTTAAGTGCGGCACGCGACGAAGTGAAATATTCCGTGGGAAGCTCCGGGCTCTTGAGCGTGCCCGCCGGGCCAAGGAAATGGGGCAAATTTGCGCGGACGGGGATTGGCTTTTAAAATACCTGGCGGTTTGTTGGGTCGGCGTTGTTCTCGATAGGCAGTATTCAGACCAAATAAGACTCTACTTTGCTACGCTCACGAAGGTTGCTGCGTTTTTGGCTGAACGAAAATGTCGGGGATTTTGTACCGACATCTTTTTCCGACGACGCCATTTTGGCGAACAGAGTTATGGGAGATATGGAAGAAACCAATCATACTCGGGGGCGACCAATTTCGGGCGAAGGCGCACACGCATTTTCGGTTCCGTGACCGGCTGCCAAGGACATATAGCGTGTACTTTCCTACTTCTCAAAGCATTGAAAAGGTATAAGAATTGTGATAAAAAGTTTTCCTTGGCCCTCCCCCGCCTTCTCTTATTTTTCCTTGGCCTCCCCCGCCCCTTCTCATTTTTCCTTGGCCCTCCCCCCGTACGCACCGGCCCTCCCCCCCCGGTAAAATACCGTAGGGTCCCTTAGGTATAGTCCTTTTCTTGCTCTACAGATCGAGCGAGTTTTTCAAGTATCAGAGAAGTTCTTCGCCCTTCCCAAGGACACCAAGGAAAAGTACGCTCGCCCGGTGGACAACAACCACGGTTGGGTGACCCTGGAACGCGAGAGCCTCAACCCGTCACGCCCAGGTGACCTCAAGGAAGCCTTCAACGTAACGTGGGTGGAAAATCCACCAGCATGGCCAATGGCGGAGCTCCCAGAGTTCAGAGACACCGTGCTAGACTTCTACGACAAGTGTAGAAAGCTTAGCCTGCACATTCTGGAGCTAGTAGCCAGGGGTCTGCATGTGAAGGACGTGAAGGGGTTTGTCGACTCCCACAAGTTGATGGGTTCGGGGCCGAACGCGACGGCGCTGCGTCTACTCCACTACCCTCCGGTTCCCGTGGAGACCAAGCCCGACCAGGTCCGCTGCGGCGAGCACTCGGACTACGGTTCCATCACGCTGCTGTTCCAGGACAAGGTCCCAGGCCTGGAGGTCCGCAACAGGGACGGGGTCTACGTCCAGGCACCCATCATCGAGAACGCCGTGCTGGTCAACATCGGAGACCTGATGCAGCGCTGGACGTCGGACCGCCTGGTGTCCACCAAGCACCGCGTCCTGCTGCCGACAGACCGCGGACAGATGCGCCAGTCCCTTGCGTTCTTTGTCCACCCCGACGACGAGGTCATGATCTCGTGTCTCGACGGGTCCAATAAGTATGAAGCCATCACAGCAAAGGGGTATCTGGAGCAGAGATTTGCAGCTACTTATTAGACCAGGTCCGTCTTTAAGTCACAATTGTGAGATGTGAAAAACATTAACCCTTCACGTGCTAAGGTGGTCTTTTGGTTAACCAATTACAGCAAAGTGGTATATTGAGGAACGGTTTGCAGATACTTATTAGGCCAGGAGGACTGTTTAAGTCACAATCATGAGATGTTAAAAACATTAACCCTTCACCTGCTGGGGTGGTCTTTTGGGTTAACCCATCACAGCAAAGGGGTACCTTGAGCAGAGGTTTGCAGCTACTTATTATATATATATATTAGGCCAGTCAGAATCATGAAATGATAAAACATTAACCCTTCCCCTTGCCGAGGTGGTCTTTTGGGTTTACCCAATTTGTATTGGAAGTACAAAATTAGGCAGCAGTTGAATAAAAGGAAAGAAAGCAGGTTTGAAAACCCAGGATTATACATACTAGCCATTGAAATGTGATTATCAACAAAAATATAGTTTAACCTTAATTAAGGTTTTTAAGACATTACTCTATGTTATTGGTCTATATCTATAACTATAAGCCAGTCTGATTGGTTATAGGATTTAATTAGGATAGATTTTAGTACTGTTGCACAGAAGTCGTCGACAAGGGTCCAAAAATTATTTTCTAGTGAGAAATGAATACATTAGTGTAGAATGTAAAATACATGTACATTGTACACATGATACAGGGCTATAGGGAATGTAATGGCACAGTACATTGTAAAGCTTGTATATAAATCACCTCAAGTCCAAAACATTTACAACAGCACACTTTCCTTTGTCTACTGTCTTTCAATGATACAGTCAAGAAGACCACTCAGGGGACCAATGAAATCTGGTTAGGCCACAGCAATTAAATTTTATGGAACACATCCACTGCAGGCTCCAAATTAAATGCGAGCGGGCGAAAAAAAAACAAGGCAGGCAGAAAAAACAAGGTTCGTACATTTTCAAATTTAGACTCATTCATTGTACAAATGGTTTTGATTCAGTGCTAACATCACATATACACAGCCAGCGTCACATATCACTGCATCAAAGTAAGAAACAAAACATTAAACTAGAAAGGCCGACATTTGCTTGGGAGCAAATACAGCATATTTCAGTCCATCTCCCTCCCACGCAAAAGTGGACTATTCCAAACCTACCCCAGTGCAAAACTGGCGAAGGTTCTCAAATAAATGAATTAAATAGTAGCTATATGAGAACAAAGATGCAACAACATGTACTTTGAATCTCGAAAGCTTTACTAATCTTATTACAGGTATGCAAAAACTAACAATGATGAGATTTGATACATTTTGAAGGTCTTAGGCACATAAAATTGAATGTGTGGGTCATTACGCACCACTTAGGTGCAATGTGACCTCAGGTAACCCGCAATGGAACACGTGTTCCATGGATGGAACCGGCCATTCTTTAGATAGAACATGGAACGGGTATAGCACTTTTGGCCCTTTTTGTGCTGAAAATAGCCATTAAAGTCCCCCAAATGAGTCATTTGGAAGTGGTGTATGCCAAATATGTGACTGCTATTCTGTAGACACATGTTCAAGGTACCCTTATACCGAATTTCAGATCATTTGGTTGTAAAACCAGGGCTCAGGATCCAAAAATCCATTTTTTGGCGAAAAATGCCCCAAAAAACCTTCATAAAAAATTTTTAAAGGCATGTATCAAAAAAATGAAAAAAACGCCTGGGGGTATTGGCCCACTCTACCTCCATGCCAAATTTCAAGTCATTTGGCTGAATGATGGCGGAGTTGAATCCCTTTGACTGTTTGGCAGGAGAAGGAGGAGAAGGAGAAGAAACATCAGAGAACACAATATATTTCATCCATACCATGGTATGGACTGAAATATAAAAAATCAGAGCCTTTTCTTGTCTCCTCTCTTCATAGTTATCTTCCATCCACCATCTAGCAGGGCAATAGACATGTTTGCCCATTTTCGGCATGTTGACCACTGTCAGAGGGCAACAAAATTTCTTGTTTTTTTCCAAAATCAGGCTAAAATTAATGCGTGCATCGATGGCATCCATAAAAATTACTTACTGTTGCCTTACGATAAACTAGATTCTTTCGGAATGGTGTGAATAGTGTCAATCAGAAAAATTATCTAAGGGATCAGTTTACCACCAAAAAGTGTTTTTTTTACCTTGGCTAGTGTGTCTTTATGTAGGCTAAGGTGGTCTGGACACTCACAGGTTTGACTAGATAGTTGTGTGTTAACATTTTTGTAGTTCAAGACATCTTGTCGAACCATCTGTTAAATATATGAATATACTGCAATTTAGATGCATATGAAAACTTTTATTCAAGACTCGAAGTTGACATAAAAGTTCACTTTGTAGGTGAATAATAAATTGCCATTGTACCATTAGAGGGCACATTTTATTCAGCCATAGGCACAATTTTTGTATTTGAATATATAGTTTTCTAGAGTATTGATGTTTTTTGTGCACGCATGACTATTATAAATGAGTACTTTATTGCAGACTGTTTAGAAGCATAGATTTTTTACTTTCTAAAATAAAAGTTATTGGAAAATCTTCCTGACTTTAGGATTGTCGTACAGTACTAGTCTCCACCAGACTCCTTTGCAGGCTGAATATATATGTAGATTTCAACCAAAAATGGGATATAATTGGCCAGTGGGAGTTAGCTGGCCATAGAGTTTATACTTGCCTGCAAAGGAGTCTGGTGGAGACTAGTACAGTACTGTGAAAATGATTCAGCTACACGTCTGAAATATCAGAACATCAATGTACCTGTACTGTATCTGAATTGACTAACCCTTAAGTATAGAACTTCTTGACTAACTTTGTTACTAAAAATGTGTTATTCTTGCCACAATAATGAAAATGTAGCCCCAGAAAAAGATGAATACAGTGTATGGGCAATCAAGTCTTTGATACTTGATATGAAAGTCTATTGGGAACATGGGTTCTCTGCGTAAGATACCTAAAGTCTAATCATGGAGGTAAAAGACACATCTTCTAACTCCTTGACACATCTTCTAACTCCGTTATATGTTTCACATCAATTTGAAGATTTCTTTGATGATTATGGACTTCCTGTGGGTATGGTCCCAAAGACCGTGAAGTTTTGGCAATGAACCTATCGACTGTGGCACTTGAAGTGAAGGGCCAAAACGACCGCTAAGTAACACGTCGGCTCTTGAACGTACTGCGCCTGCGGTTTTCGTTGAAAACGAACGTTTGCTCAACGTTGCATCAGAATTTTGCCTGTTGCAGACGATATTTTTTTCCGACATAACATTTGGAAAGGAAGGAGTGTTAACCTTATATAATATGCGCGAATACGACCTTATGTGAGACGTTCTGCCGAAGTGCTATGCACAATATATTACGGGACTCGTGCTAGAGTCAATTCCGCGTCACCGAGTGGGTTGTTATTGTCATTATTACCTTCGCCAAGAAGGTTATGTTTTCAGTAGCGTTTGTCTGTGTGTGTGTGGGTGTGTTGTGTGTGTGTGGTTTAGCAAGATAACTCGAGAAGCGGTGGATGGATTGGAATGAAACTTGGTAGGTGGGTAGGTCTTCATGAGACCTAGAAATGATTAGATTTTGGGCCCCCTGGCGGCTTTCCTAGGTACTGCAGCTGAACTTCCGGTTTTGATATCTCATGATCAGGACATGCTAGGGTCATGAATTTTGGTTGGTAGATAGCTCTTGGGGTAGGGAAGAAGTGACATGAGTTTGGGTCCCCTAGCGCCTTGTTCTGGAACTGCAGGAGCATTTGTTGAAAAAAAATTGAAGGACGATAACTCAAGAACCGGTTGACGTATTGTCGTGATTTTTGGTATGTAGGTAGTTGAAGTGATGCTTGACATAATCAGATGGCAATTATGCAAATCAGGAGCTAATATGCATAATTAATGAGGAAATTCTATAAATCTGCTTTGTTCGATAATAGAACTATGAAACACTTGTGACATCTACTTGAGAACGAGAAAAACATCTGAGGATATAGATTATGTAAATGAGGACCTAATTTGCATAATTAATGGCAAATTCATATAATTCCATAGTTGTAACTGCTGCACCCCGAATTTCATACTTGCCACGTGAAGGTGAACATCAATAAACATAATTTATTCAAATCATGACCTCATTTGCATAATTTATGAAGAAGTGCTATAATAGCCTTTTTGTTATGATAAGGCTGTCATTGGATGGAGAATATGATCAACTGATATAATCCATGCAAATGAGGCTCTTATTTACAAAATGAATGATTAAAATTGTATAATTCGTCACCCGCAAGGGTTAACATCATTTGGCGAAGGTATGAGATCGTGGAACTCTTGTTTAGAAATGTTTTGAATTCTTTGTAATTGTTTGTCTAAGAAATTTCATAATTTGGAAATAATTTGAACATCTTGTCAATATTCTAAATAATTCCTTGGTTTTCTAAAACGTTTGAAATATTCCTGATGTGGATTATGACATTTCAAATAGTTTCTAAATAATTCTAACAGCACTCTACCATTTTTTACCATTATTTCGAATTATTTGTAACATTTTGTAAATAGGTCAACGGGATGGGAAGGAAGTAATTCACACATCCCTGTGAAGTACAGGGTAGACTGCCTGGGTGTCAGGCATTGATGCCTTACAACAAAAGAGCCACCAGTGTCCAGCAGTGAAATCTAAAAATATACAGAAGAATACAAAAGAGTAGGATTAGCACCTACTTTTATGGGGGCAATTACCCACATCTACCATTTGGTCATTTGTTTGAAATATTTCGAATAGTGAAAGAAACACATGGGGAGTTCAAATTTATTCTAAATAAAGAGATCTTTGTACAGTCACTTTCAAAATGTTTCAGAAATATATAAATGAATTCAAATATATTCAAATTTTCATTTTCAAATTTTTGAAAAATTTAGAACTTTTGTTACTGGGGTATTCTTTTCTTCTAAATGATTCAAACGTATTAGAAACATGGAGAAAAAACCCACTCGGTGACGCGGAATGGACTCTAAGTCATATATCATGAATTACACATTTTCGTCTGACCTCTCGTTATTCGCTACGCATTCAGTCAGACCAGACAACGTCTTACACGTAACTTTCTGGAAATTAACGGCAGAACTGGGTCAAACTGGGATTCCTGCACTACCGGGGAAGTCTGTGTCGCCCGCCGTCCCGGTAAAGATAATGAAGTAGAAAATATCGGTCCGCAGACCTGTAAAATCGTCGCTTATATATCATATTTCATCGTTTATCAAGACTCTAGAGTTTAGAGTTTTAGTCAGATCCACAATTAGCCTCATAAGAGGCTATTCTTCCTGTGGTCTACACATTCATATTTACATACATGACACAAACATTACAAAATTAACAGTACATGGCAAACTTTACACAATTCACTATTTACAATCCAGTACTTTGCTATTTGCCGCCTATGTTATTCCACAACTGTGACATCCTGTACATAAAGCGCTTTTTCTGATAGTTTGATTTTGGTAGTCTGATTTTGTTTGTGCTGGTTGAACGTGTTTGGTACTTGTGAATCTCAGATTGGAATGTGATTTTGTCACAACAACCAAAGGCCTTGTCGTACAAGGCCTTTGGTTGTCTGGTGAGCATGGTACGTATGGACTCAATCTCATTATTTTCTACATCTGGTGTGATTCTAGCACAAGTTGAGTCAGGATGTACCCAGGGAACCTGCCCCGCCCTCAGCCGGCCCGGACTCGGGCACATCCCAAGTACGTTGTCGGAGGAGCCAAAGGTCTGGGTGCTTCTCACATCGTGTTCGGTTGTCTCCTCATGGGTTTACGGAAAAACCTGGGCTGTCTACCTTGCCAGGCTACCTTACCAGTCTACCTTGCCTGTCTAGGACGTCAGGCTACTGAACTCCCCCCATCCACAGCCTCACGAATGGCAAGCCTTCCAAGCAGCTGCGCCTCCTGGCGGAATGCATCAGAATTGCACCCAATACTTTGGCACATGCGTGTGCACAAACCTTAGGCCTGACTAATCGCGCTCCTGGCGGCCGGTCGCCCCGAAGTGGGTGGGGGGCATTAATTAACCTCCGGCCGAGTTAACACAGCAAGAAATCTACTGAGGCGAATAGAAATAGAAATATATTTTATTTTAATTTTTATTCTGGAGTTTTAATGAGCCAAGGGTAATCAACAGTAACAGGGAAACGGATCTCGTGATTACGTTGAGAGCGCGCGGGTCGGAGTGTGTATTGTATCAGAACAGGGTGAACTTTTGACCTTTTGTGCGGGGGCAGCATTGTCCGTGCCGCACAGCTGTAGATAATGTTAGGGACTGTACGATATTTACCGGGGGGGGGAGGGCTGGTGCACTGGGGGGGGGGGGGGGAGGGCCAGTTGAAAAGTTTTTTTTTGGGGGGGCCCTGGGGAGGGAGGGGCCCATTAGGGAAAAAAAATTATTTTTAACCGATGGGGGGGCCATCGAAAATAAATCGGCCTGGAGGGGGGGAGGGCACCGAAAAAGTTTTGTAAAATGTATGGCGTTGCGTAGTACAGAATTACAAGAAATACACCGTAAATTCCAGAATATAGTACGCACTTTTTAAATTTTTTAAAAATCCCAAAAGTGTCTCGGGCCGTCGCCAATTTCGCAAATTCGCCGTACTTTATTTGAGGTTTCCCCCGACAAATCCATGCCATGGACGACCCAGGAATATAGCGGAACATCGGCACGGAGAGCGACATCGATCGTCCATAGCATGTTTAGATAAGAATATTGACGAGTGGAAATAAAGTTAAACCTCAATAAATGAACATATTTCCTCTGACTATCGTCAATATTGACACTAAGGGCCACTAAGTTGCGGTAAAAGAAGAAGTCAAGTCACCCACGGTAAGAAATTGTAGGTCATGATCACTGGCAATGACGCCCGGCGCTTTGTCATGCCAACAGGATCGTTCCCCAGCCAGTCGGTGCCGATCTCAGTGGAACCCCGGCCGAAAAAATAACCTCCCGTAAGTACATATACAATTGCGAGAGGTTTATGAATGGTAATATTTGAAATGGTCCGCAAGCCGCGTGAACGTTCTTGTTCGTCGTAACGTAACGTAACATATGTGATAACATAACAGTCGTGCCTCGACTGATGGTCAGTTAAATGCACTTCCGGCTTCAGTTGAACTTCAACAAATATTATGGCCATGCCGTTTCAAAGGTTTAGTTGACAGAAATTGTTGTTTCACTTCGTATCACAAATATTTTTAAATCTTGATAAATGCAACAGGAAATTACTTTGTAGCGGGCTATACCAGCCAGTACGAGGTGAAAATTCCAGCTAGATGTACTCCTACGGGACCCGACTGTTCGGCAAGCTACAATGATAGGGGCGGAGTTAACTTAACATGTAGTCTTTGATGAAATCTTACCGCCCGGCCGGTGGGTGGGGTGTTTGACGAGCCGACACCTACAGCTGAAGAAAACAGAGCCGTGGCCCCGAAAAGGAAGTCTTTCTTTCCTCTGTACAGACTGTACTTATACGTTTTACGGAGTACAAATTAATATTCCCTCGGAGTGTTTATTCCTTTGATTTTGTGACAAAAACATCTATCACATAACGAGATTACTAGTACTTGAAACACAGTCAAACTTTCACTTTCTCCTGTTCGGAATCGCCAGTAGTCTTTTGTTGTTGTGTAATTGGTTTCGTTGTGAAATTTTAAATTCGGTAGCACCTCTACACCCAAATACTCCGCCCAGTTCTCCGCCCGTTTGATTGTTTCTCTCCATGGGTCGATCGGGCGGGCGCTATTAAAGAAGTGTTCGGCGCATTTCGTATTCTAAAAACAACAAAGCTACGTACGTGTGCATCAACATTGAACTACCCCCCGTTACAGATAGAATCAATATTTAAATATTGTCTTTTTTTCACAAATCTTTATTGACTATTGCTTGCTTGATTACCAACACTTCAAAGCTGGATCCAAAGCTGTACGTTCCGCCGGACTTGCCTTACCTCGCGGTGGCGACGTCTTGCAAGTCGACTGCGGCCAGAGGTGAAAACAAGGCCTAAGCGTTTCCCTCTACGTCACCATACAATCACGTAGTACACGGCATAAATCTAGTTTTAAAGAATTTTTTTTTGGAACTACATGTCCACTGTGGTACCGGCCGTGCGTACGTTTCAGACGGGAATATTTGTCTCCCACCAGCCCCAAATCGGGGGGTGCGTACTTAGATCAGGATGCGTACTGTATTCGGGAATTTTCGGAAGGAGAAAGAGAAAGAGACAATCACATGGAAAATTACCGAAAAATTGTTTGGGTTGGGGGGAGGGCCATTGAAAAAAAAATTTAGCCGGGGGGAGCTCGAGGGCCATGGAAAAATTTTTTTCCGGACCCTTTTTGCACCAGCCCTCCTCCCCTGGTAAATATCGTACAGTCCCTAAGATTATCTACAGATGTGCGGCACGGACAATGCTGCCCCCGCACAAAAGGTCAAAAGTTCACCCTGTTCTGATACAATACACACTCCGACCCGCGCGCTCTCAACGTAACCACGAGATCCGTTTCCCTGTTACTGTTGATTACCCTTGGCTCATTAAAACTCTAGAAAAAAATTAAAATAAAATATAATATCTTGTTCAGTTTTATATTTCTATTCGCCTCAGTAGATTTCTTGCTGTGTTAACTCGGCCGGAGGTTAATGCCCCTCACCCACTTCGGGGCGACCGGCCGTCAGGAGCGCGATTAGTCAGGCCTAAGGTTTGTGCACACGCATGTGCCAAAGTATTGGGTGCAATTCTGATGCATTCCGCCAGGGGGCGCAGCTGCTTGGAGGTCTTGCCATTCGTGAGGCTGTGGATGGGGGGAGTTCAGTAGCCTGACGTCCTAGACAGGCAAGGTAGACTGGTAAGGTAGCCTGGCAAGGTAGACAGCCCAGGTTTTTCCGTAAACCCTCTCCTCATCACCATGGGCAGCATCGGGGCCGCCCTGAACACCGCAGACTTCTTTATCAGCACCCCCATCTGGACTGGACTCATGGTACGTCCCTTTTTGCGTTGTCCAACGAAGTTCTACACATCCAGTAACGGCCGTTACATGTATTTTAATAACAACGTGTATGGTCTCAAAATTTGAAAATGTAGGAATCTTGTTTATTTTTGTCACCTTATTTTTAATATTTCCACGCCCTATTGCATTAAATTTGGAGTGTGTGGAATAAGTCATCCATAATATTTACTTGTCGTGGCCTAGTGTGGCACAAGGTAACGCACAGAACGTCTATCGTTTTCTGGTTCTCCCGGGATAACCAAATACTTGTATAAATGGATGCCCAGATCGCGTCACGTTCTGGATGTGTGACGTGGCACACACGACCACATTTATACGTAAAAGGTCAAGTGGGGCATTCCAGGTTATGTTTACCGAAGGAAAACATATTGTTTTTGCTCCGTTTCTTCTTCTTCTCCAAACAGTGACCTATGACCTGACCAATGACATGATTTGTTGATGTCTGTCACCATGGTGACTGGTGTTGGGTTACATAATGCTGCAATTTCATGGTCTGCTCTGCTCCTGTCACCATATACATTTTTTTACAAGTAGTACATGTATGTGAATGTGTTTGAGTGAGAATTAACACAGCAGACCATGTCCGAAGGTAAACATAATGCATTTGCTTTGCATTTGCAAATGTTACTTCTCTAGTTTAATACTTGTTTTCTCCTGTCCAGTACCTCGTGACAGGTATACTTGGAGTCGTGTCCAGTCACAGGAACAACAAGTGCACGGTAAGGCTAATCTCCGAGCAAAACTTTCTTTGAAGTAGTGCACAAGTTCGCGGTGCTGGTGGTTAACATAGTAACAGAGTTAAAACATTGTTCCAAGGTGAAAAGTTAGCCCGTCGAATTCTAGACTGTCCTATTGCAGAATTCCTCATTATTAAAGTAACCAATCACATAGGTTACTAGTATGTGACGTCAGCAATTGTGCCAGCATGTTTTCTTTTATTCAAACATTAAACACAAAGTGGTAGCGCACTCAAGTAGCAAGGATTTATTTTAACGCTCCAACATAACCAAAAGATACCTAACTACAAAATAAAATCCACTATAAATGACGTACAAAGGATAATAGATATGTACAACAACGTACTAGAGAACAAAGATATTGAAAGATTGATAAGCGCAAGACCAGTTCCCCACCCAATGGCGAAAGCAATGAAGTGATGACACAGTTCAAAATACATAGCCTGGTTTCCAAACCTGATATAGCTCCCGAGTCCTACATGTACATATACATCCTCTATATGTGTGCTATAATAGGTTTGGTAACCAGGCTACAAAATACACGGGAAAATTGAATTCTAGAAGCGGGTCTATACCATTCGTTGTCTCTGATGAATTTCTTTCTTTCTGTCTGTTTCTGCCCACAGGCGGTTGGTTTTCTGGTGATGTCTTGCCTGTGTATCCTGATGGTGATTGGCGGAATATCATCTGCGTCATTGGCGCTGTCATGGGAACACTGGAGTACGTTCAACGGGCCTGTAGGGTGCTGGTATGACTGGCAGATAGATCACAACCACTGCGAAGGACTAGACGTAAGAACTCGCTTACTTGTGATTTAAATACTTGAATATGAGCTGAAAACACGCTTCGTTTTTCTAAAGACTATGATAAGGCCACACCGATTTAATTTGTTGTTTCTCGGACTCGCCCTGTCCATTTTTTTCTGATTTTCAAAAAAAAAAATTGTTTAGATTCTAAATCAACTACGAAATGAAAGACATATTTTGGCCCCAACGGTTGAAGAAAGTCCTTTTCTTCCTAGTTGTTAAAGTTTTTCAATGCAACAATGCAACTTTGTTTCATAAAAAGTTCAAAATATATTGTTTTAATTTTAAACCAGCCTGGTATGTTGACTTAATGGCTCATATCGTAACATTTCCGGCCTTGGCCTGTTTTTTTTTATTTCGCCCTGTCGCTTCATATTTTTTTCTGAAAAAATCCGAGAAACAACAAATTAATGTGGTGTGGTCTAAAGCAGATGTGCAGTGTAATCTTTTTCACCTTGTTTACTTATAGCCGAGAAAAAAGATCATTTATTAGACTTACAGTTATTTCATGAATCCGTAAGAAAAAAGCAATGAGCGATGAATGTCACTTCATACAGATTATGTATATTCTTTAATGATATTCTTTTTTCAGCCAGGTGTTTGGTTTCATTCGCCTTGAAAAGTATATAATGGCGTTTTACCAGCTACGCAATTCAGCGGTTTAAACGCTGCCATGTACAAGGATTGTTGTCAATAAACTATTATTATTATTTTTATTTTATTTCAACGAGCACGTTTATATACTTATATAACAATATGCTAATAACGATAACTTTACTGCTTGACAATTGTATATAATTGAATCAATTTGAACAGCAATTCTAGGAAAGAAATCTACGCCACAAAAGAATGTGTAGTACAGATTGGCATTATATACTTGAACATTCTTGAATTGGTGGAATTTCTTTTGTCTAGGAAGTTTCCTATGTTATGTCCTATTATATTGTAAATCACTTCATATCCGCGGTAGCAAAAGTTTGCGGTCTGAGAAAAAATTGATATGTTTGCAGAACTATACGTTCATCAACTATGCGCAGCAAAAAGAAAGTCGGCAAATTATTTGTGCACGGCAATAGGTTTCGCGGTACAGATGTCTCCGCGAAAACCGCGAATGTAAAAGTACCGCAAATATTGTGATTTACTAGAACTTGGGATTTGGTGGTCTTCGACTGTTTTCTGATTAGCCCAGTTCTAAAAGCGGGGGTAATTCAACCAGGCCGGCTATGTTGTCTATATGCAATCAGAAAATAGCATATAAAAGCTCCCAAAGACCCTGAAGACCCACCAAACCCCCGGTTTTTGGCATGCTGTGGAGGCTATGATTTTTTATTTTTTATTCCAACATGTAATCACCAGACGTGGTGACGACACACTCAAGTTTTTTCAACTTATATTAATGCCGCCACCAACACAGGAGACAAATACATGACAGGACAATACTCATTTACACCTGAGCTGAGTGAGGAAAGTCGTGTAAAGTGCCTTTCCCAAGGGCACAAGATCGGAGGCATGTCAGGACTCGAACCCGGGACTCTAGGTTCCGAGTCGCGCACTCTGCCACAACGCCACACGACCCCACAACTATGATTTGCAGTATGACGAATGTTGCCTTTTTAATATTCTCGTAGACTGCCCGCTCTACGGTTGACGCTGCGAACCTGCTGTTTGCCCTGGTGGAGATGGGTCTGTGTATCGCCTCTATTGCCGTCTGTTCTCATGCCATCTCCAAAGTGCGGCACCAGGAGGGGGGTGGGGGCGGGGAGGCGGGGTGTGGCAGCTGCTGTTCGCCGTGCTGTGGGGGGAGGGGACAGCCAGCCTATCAGGTGAGCAGATGGGTGTTTACCCTGGAAGCCAGAACTCGTTTTCCGGGCCGCAAGAGTCCTTCGCCCGCTGGGTATAAATTACCGCTATGGGGGAGTCTTNNGTTCCACGGAGATATATGTAGGGTTGCCGGCTGGAGCTTCTATTGCGTGCGATCTACGTTTGATCAGAAAATACCCCCCTCCCAAAAAAAAACAAAAAAAAAACGACCGGGAACGCCTGAAAAGGAGGCTAGGGGAGTCTGGCCTAGGGCCGGACAAACCCCTCGGGCTCAACTCCCCCGTAGCGGTAATTTAGTCAGGCGGGCGAAGGGCTCTTGGCTGCCGAAGGAAAATGGCTAACGGCCCGATACTAGTTTGGCATCCAGGGTATCTATTATACGGAGTGTCCAAAGGTACTTTTATGGGAATGCTTAGCAATTGTGCGGGGTGTACTTATATAGCAGTTTTACCACGTACTTGAGAGAGAACTTTTGCGGGTTACGTCAGAACCCTTACAGGTATATTTAGGTATGCTTCACGGGTACTAGTGTACTTAGCAATCTTACGGGTATGCTCCACAATTTTACGCTATAAAGTGTACCGATGTAGTGAAGTTCAACAATCTTGCTAGTTAAGTTACCTAAAAAATGGCCAAAAAAGTATAAATATCAATTTCATTTGTGTACTCTTTTGCGATTAAAGTATACCGAAAAAAGTTGCAATGTATTCTTTAGAATTGGTAGTACCTTACGAACCCTGCATTAGTTTCTTTTTTTATCTTTTTGTATCTTTCTGAGCTATTTCGATAATAAGCAATAGGTGTATCATTTATATATGTACACGCCAATGAGATATCTAGACTTGGTAAAATGCTGGTTAGAAATTCAATGTCTCGTTTATCTTAATATACAGACCCTGCATGAAGTTGGACCGGACGGTCGGCTAGCTCCGGTGCAAAACTTCACCCAGCTGCAGTTCCACAACCAGCCCCAGGTGGCGCTTGCGCCCCGCCAATCCTACATCTTTCCCACCCAGCAGGGGCCTGCATTCCAGGGCGGCATTGAACAAGGTTGGTGTTGCACCTGAATTGAATGACAGATTTTTAGAGAGCAAATCTCAGGTTTTCAACACGTTTTTGTGGCTAAACTATGTCGCATTTGTACTCGGCAATGTGGAAAAAAAAAACAACATCACTTGATTTGATAATCGAGTCTTGTATTCTATAACTTTATTTGCAAAATCATGCCCGAAGGCAAATTGCTTTTACAATCAAAGATACTACTCAGTGCAATACAATAACAGAAGACAGGTAACAACTGTCTGGAAAAAACTTATACTTCTACTACTACGCTTAGCTACCATGGGGTTCGACTTCCTTTTTGAGGGATAATGAATAGTCCCACATTCTGCATAATGAGTGGGTTTTCTGATCTTAGTAGAAACGTAGTCTTTTGGTGATCTTCAAAAAATGACGAAAGGATGGATAAATTGTGGTAACTGTCTGAAATAATCTGTTATTATTAACAGGAGCCTATTACGTTTCTGGAAGTCGTTTCTTCATATTTATTATAACTTTGTGCCGTTATGAATATAGGTGCAACAGGTGGGACCCAGACGGTAGAACCGGCGCATGCGCAACAGCAGCAGACACTGCTGCAGTACCACCAGCCGCCGCAACAACAGCAGAAAGAAGCGGCCGTGGCGCATGTGCAGCAAGGCTGTACCAGCCCTCCTCCTGCATACAATAATCACTCTGAGTGTTAGATGACGTGTATAAGATCGCCGGGGTCCTTGTATTTCTGATACCTCGTCTGATATGATTTCACTTCAAATCTGCCGAACGAAAGTTTAATTTGGAATGTAGACGTTCAATCTTAGCCCTACCAGGCTTCAGAAGTGGTTGAAGAGACTAGACATTGGCCAAATAGACAGATAACATGCCCGGAAGTTTGTCTGCTAAATTAAAAGGAATACAGTTAGCGGTCCAACTCCCCTATAATGTAATTTGTCTATTTGTCCAAATGAAAGTAAGGTGGTAATTACCTTTATAGTCTATTTTAGTTTAAGGTTTTCTCAACTCAATTTACATATATTTTACTTGTGAGGTGCTATCCTTTGTCAATGTTTCATTTCAACATTTTATCATTGATTATGCAATTGACTTCAACATTAACATTACATTTGCCTAGTGATGTTAATCTTTATCTAACTTACACAATTATGGAATTCCAATCATTTACCATAAGGAATCACAGAATTTAATTTTTTTCTCATTAATTGAGCAAATTAAGACACCATTTCCATCATTTACATTTCATTGTCTGTCTAAGCTACTGACCGACTGACTGAGATACCTACATACCAAAAATGATAAAAATACGTTGCTCCGTTCTGGACTTATCCGCTTTGAAATATTTCGCCGGAAACTCCCCTGCACTCCGAGAACAAGCTGCTACCGCGGTATTCATAGGGGACATATATACCATTACACATACCACTTTTTTTGTTCATAAAAAGAAGAAGAGGAAGAAGAAACAGAACAAAAACGATATGTGTTCCTTCTGTGAAACATATCTAATTCCTAAGTACGTACATATAGCTATTGTCTGTTGTTGTTATGATTGTGTTATCTATAGTTGGGCAATTTTACTAAATGTATAGTGTCACTATTTGACGCGAAAAAATTATCAACAGAGGGGATTATGCAATAAAGGCAAGGTGGTTTTTAACCCGTGACCTTGTGGTATATGCATTGACTTTTTTGGACGTTTTTAATAGTTGTTTTTAATAGTTCATAGTTACGTTCCTAGCACTTTACATTTAGTCCGAATCGAAGGACTTTACAAATTAGTCCCTCCTTCACCATTTTCAAAAATCATACTAAAGTAGCTTTCATAAATAACCCCACACATTCCTAATTTTTGTTTATGTTTCCTTGTTTACTACTTTCATTACTATTTTTCATTATTGTAGATAATTTGTATCGTATTGTATTTTATTGTTTTGTTTATTTACCCGTTAGGCCACACCAAGTAAATTTTATGGATGACGTCCGCGCGCGCATTGATTTTGACCTGTTCCTAGAAAAAAAACAAGAAATTCCGCTTCCTGTAACTATGACCAAAGAGTCACGACAGTGCCGCAAATCGTCAGGTTGAGGTGAAACCCGTAACTCGAAAACAGGACAGGACGACAACTGCTGTTCCACCTGATTTATTGCTGTTTTGATGATGAATAAAAGACTTCTTGTTTGTTACACTGTGTCACCTCATTCAATTTGTGTCCTTACATTTGTCGTCTCTTAGTATACTTCTAATCTAGGCATCTTGTTTTTTAGGGCCCTTCTTGTTTTTTTCGCCCTCTCGCATTAGATTTAGGGTCTCCAAAGGACGTCATCCATAAAATTTACTTGGTGTGGCCTTACCTAAGTTATTTCTTATTTACCCGATTGATTTGAATTGTTAATCACGTTAATTATGAAGGGAGGCCTCCTCATAAGCATTTTATGCTTCCGGCCTCCCTGCACTGTTACATTTCATTTATATTTTCTTGTATTTGTATTGTTACATTTTGTTTTAAAGTGCGAAATAAACTGAACTGAACTGAAAGTTTCCGTTACACCTCTGCTGCCACAAACGGAAGTGCGCACTGAGAACCGCCCCCCTCACTGCCGCGCCACGCCGCTTTCGGGGTTGGCAGAAAAACATAGCGGACGAAACTCCCCGTTTGACTGGTAGATTTTGGAAACCTCTCTCACCTCTCGGTAAGTACGATTACCTTGCCTCATCCTAATACATAAGACTGATAAAGGGCAACTAGCCACTGTGGCTCTGAAAGAAAGGCACATTTTGAGAGCGAACGGTGAGCACCCTTCCTCGAGGCCTCATGGATCTAGCCCCCCTTCGCAGACTTCTTGGGGTGATATGGAGAGCTCTTGCACGCGATTTTTACAGATAGAGCTAGGTGCTAAGGTTCTTTGCGGCAAAGGGTCAGCACTTCGGTCAAGCAGGGAGGTTAACATCCTATTGTCAAGTGTATACCGTCACGTGAAGAGCACTAACCTTATCCAAGGTCATTCTAGTAATTTCTACCGCCTCCATGCTGTAGCCAAGGACTCATTAGCCAAAATGAGGTTAAAATCAAGGATTTTATTATATTATTAAACCTCCTTGCTCTAGACAAGTATCATTTTAGGATTCACGTGAACATGCCAGTGAACGTAACGAAAAACCCTGCGCGGCCTCTCACTCAGACGGCTATGAACTTGTGCCAAGAAATCTGCCCGGATTTTAAGTAACCGGTCGGCTGACTGACTGTACATCGACTGCCGATTTCTGCCTCGTCACGGTGGTAAATCGGTGATCTGAACTAACACTTGAAGGACAGATCTAGAAATCCGTTACTGTAAATCTTGACATTTTTGCAGTGTTTTCAAGTTTGTTGCCTTCCATTGTTTTACGGTAGTACATTTTTATAACCTACATGAAAATTTATTACATGTACGTGTGTATTGTTTTTGGTCTGTGCGTGTGTATGTGTTTCTGTATATAATATAGTTGTGGTCAGGGTAACTTATAAGAAGGCCTTATGGATTGTGATGATATTTGGGCCCCCTGCTGACTAACTTTGGTACTGCAGCAGAACTTCCGGTTTTGGTTTCTTTTGCCCTGTACATGCTATGGTCTTGATCTTTTGATGGCTGATAGCTTTTCATGTCAGGAACAATTTGTGTGGGTTTGGTCCTGCTAGCAGCTTGTTCTGATCTGCAACTACAGGAGTGTTCCTGGAGTGTCTTTTAAAGCAATAAATCAAGAAAGGACCAATGAATTTTCATGACATGAGATGTACACAATAATATGCAAATTATGGTAATGGTGCTTAATTTGCATAATTAATGAGGAGACAACTACCAAAAAAATTACTAATTTTCATGTATGAGATTCAGCCCTGAAACTAAGGTACAGCTGTCATAGTATTGGTTTTCACTGTGAGTTAGTGGCAAAAACTTGAAATGAATTTACGGTATAATTCTTATTTCCCACAGTGACAACACAATGTACCCAGTGAACCAGTCGACTCCGGATCCTGTCCGCTCGACTCGGCGCTCTAGATATGTGGTCGGCGGTGCGAGAGGACTCGGAGCGTGTCATATTGTCTTTGGGAGTCTCCTCTTAACATTCGGCATCGCGGGGATGGTCATCAATACAGCAGCCTACTTCGCAGGAACCCCGATATGGACTGGTCTTATGGTAGGAAACCAATCAATCTACATGTTCCAACAGCAGAAGGCGTTGGAAGATTCCATTGCTGCATAGGGGTATAGACTATTGGAACACTTCATATTTTGGTTCATTTAGGAACAGTCCATTTGTGCGGGAGGGGGATAGGTCTATTTGATACGGGGATGAAGCCATCTGCTGCATTTGCTCCCAAGCAAATGTCGTCCTTTCTAGTTTCTCATCATGGGTCTTTGTTAAAAACTTATAATAAACAATAATTGAGGGTGCTATTTATCAAGTGTGAAGTTGAATGAGGTTAATTTATGAATGTAGAAATTAGTCAAAAGGGGAGTTGCTATTTGCATAAAGATAAGGCTGTACCAATTCAATTAGTTGGTTCTCGATTGGTGTGGCCAGTTTAAATTGTTTTTTTTTAGGCCACACCAATTTAATTTGTTGGTTCTCGGATTTTTTCAGAAAAAATATGAAGCGACAGGGCGAAAAAAATAAAAATAAAAACAGGTCTAGGCATCCTATTATAGGCTTAAATGCTATGAAATGAGCCATGAAGTCAACACAAAAGGCTGGGTTAAAATTTAAACATTGAATTTTGAACTTTTAATCAAACCACTGCAATGATAGATGGGAAAACTGTAACAACTAGGAAGAAAAGGACTTTCCTCAATTGTTTGGGGCAAAACATGAGCATTTTTCAGTTGATTCAGGACCAGAATCAATTTTTTTTTGCAAATCAGAAAAAACGAAGAGGCGAATCCGAGAACCAACAAATTAAATTGGTGTGGCCTTACAAAGAAATAACATAAATTGGGAACCATCCAGTTACAAATCAATACCTATTTTGTCGTCAAACAAAGAAAAAGACAAAAGTAGCCATACTAAAAGTTACATACATGTACTAAAAGTTCCCACAGCAGTACTAATCACCAAGAGTGCCCCATTTTCCCAGATGTTTTTCCACTTTTCCTTTTCTTGCAGCAATATAGCATTCAACTTTTAAAAAGAAATTTATATATCGAAGAAAGGATTCAAAATTTACTTTGTTGGACCTTCTATTATTTTATATAAAGATTTTTGCTAACAGAATAATTAAATTGTTTACAGAAAAATTATAGACTGGTTTATCTTAAATAGAGCTAGCTGTTACTTCTAACATCAAAACGATACAAAATCAAACATCAACTCAATCATCCCCAAATTTCATACTTCCAGTATGATGCCAAAAATTCGTACTGCATGTGACAGTAACATTATTTACTGATACATGTAGTATGAAATTTTGGCATCATAGTATGAAATTTGGGGGCAGTTGAGTTGATTTTTGATTATTATTGTTCTGATGATAGAGGTAACGTTAACAGTTAGTTCTATTTGAATTTTAAATAAACCAATCAATATTTCTGTATACAATTCAAATGTAAATGTTGAGAATAACAATTTAGTATTACTCTCTGTTCCAGTACTTGGTGACGGGAATTTTGGGAGTTGTGTCCAGCCACAGGCACACCAAGTGTACCGTAAGTTTCTAATGGACTTAAACTTGGACTGGAAAATGTTCGTCTGTTCTTTGATTTAAGCAATAACAACTTGAAGATAACTTGTTTTGCAAATGCATTTGTATATTGTAAATCTTGAAACAAGTGTGATGGTTTTATGCTTGAAGGTATTGAGAAACAGTCACACAAGACACATTTCAGTAGTGTTCTCTCTGTGTCCAATACAAGCTTAAAACATGTGCATAATTAAAAAAAGAACATTGTACCCTCTTTTCCCCATACTAGATAATTAAGTCTTCCCAAACTTATTTCAAATTTATAGTTAAAAACAGCCCACATTTGGTGGTGCCACCACAAACTACCAGAATGTAAACAAACATGGCTGCTGTCAAGCTTTTGAACACACTACATTATATTTTGTCACACATTACACTATTGCACTTATTTGCAATGGAGTGGGGTTGCTTCAATTTCTTTGAAGGAAAAGGAACAGAAAATTACCTTTTTGTATGACATCCTAAGGCCATACCAATTCAATTTCTTGGTTAACGGATTCGCCCGCTTCATTTTTTCTGATTTGCAAATAAAAATAAAAATTCAGAATCAACTGCAAAATGCTCATATTTTGTCCTGAACAGTTGAAAACAGTCCTTTTAAACCTAGTTGTTACAGTTATTTCATCTTTCAATGCTATGGTGTCATTAAAAGTTCAAAATTCATTGTTTAAATTTTGAACCAGCCTGCTGTGTTGACTTTATGGTTCCTATCGTACCATTTAGGGCCATAATAGGATGCCTAGGCCTGTTTTTATTTTTATTTATTTTTTTCGCCCGCCCGCTCCATTATTTTTCTAGAAAAATCCGTTAACCAAGAAATTTAGGTGTGGCCTAATAATGTTACATGGCAAATGCACCTACGTCTACCATTTTTCTTGTCATTTTCCCCCCCCCCC